AGGATTCTTCGTTATGATTACATGTATTTAGAATAAATTTCAGTTTTGTTATTTATGTATTTTGTTGTATTACAAAAATGGTTTACCCCCCCCCCCTCCCGGTTGGTAGCCGCAGGACCCAAAAATGTTAATCCCGGCTTGATACTAGTAACGAAAAAAAAATGTCACGACAAAAGTCATGATTTTTACTGTCACGTGAAAACGCGCCCTAAGAGTAATCGAGAACATATATATATATATATATGAACGTTACACGTTTACCCGCGTTTCTTTATCCCCTGTTCACCTTTTAAATCGAATCCGCGTGTCGTTGTTCACGCTTAATTGTATACAACCCCGTTTTACACGTCCGAACGAACCCCATGTAAAACTCATTCCCGCCCATATGGAAGGTCTTATTATCAGTCCACTGTTAAACGCGAAACCATCGCGTTTTTGAAATTTGCGCTTATTTACCGCCACGTTTTCTTTTTACGCCCTATATATATATAGATAGATATATTATATGTGTATATATAGATGTGTATATAAAAAAGAACAAAGAAACAAAATGAAGAAGAAGAAGAACGTCGCTAGTGTGCTGTTGTCTCTGGGATGTGTTTTTACAATCTCATAAACAAAGACGAATCAACGAACTTACCGTGGTTAGAAAAAGTACATGCACATAACCTATGTATGTATCTCTTGGAAACATCGAAGATCATTCCATGACGTCATGCTGCTTTCGATTCAACGATTTTCCAATGTGTTTTTTGATTGTTACATGTAAACAGAATAAATTAAATGGAACCATGTGTGCAAATACTTTTTATATCCATTGTACACATCGAACTGAACGCTCTTCGTTCTTCTAACGAGGGGCCTTCACTTAAATGACACGCGTTTTGATTTCTATGAAACCTTTCGTTTTTTTCTTCGTCAGTAGTAATTCTTTCAAAAATATTCGACGCACCAATCGCCCATGTCTATGGATCTGAACAGCCCTCGAAGTTATTACTTTTAACGTACATGTACCATTATATGGAATCGATTTTCAGGAGTTACTCACGGTTTGTAATTTGTTGAAAAAAAATACTACATAGTGATGTTGTCGAGAACAATTTTTCTTCCGTATATATCGAATAGTCTCAAGTAAATGCATATCTCGTACGAACTTCATGGGCCCTTCTGTCTCTAAAAACATGGCCGTTAGTAAATGTGTATCGATTTGGTTTTGTTTCTTCGTAACCGTTATTTCATACAGAATTTTGTCACTTAAACGATATCCCTCGTGAGCGGTTTTGTTTATTCGTAAATGTCGGTTCTTCGTTCTATTCCGTACTTACAACCGTGTAAAATATTTTTCTTTCCTCGTTTTCTTTAGGAACTTATAATACTACTTGTGGCGTACCTAGTCCTGACTGATCCTGAGGTCACGTGGGTTCGACGAATTTCCGGTTACGCGCAGTGTGGCGGATTCACGTCCCTCGAAATCAAACAGATCGTTAGGATCCTCTTTGTTCTTCTTGTAAATGATGAAGCTCTCCAAATTATATTTTCTACAAGTTCGAGGGCCAACGCGAATGCGATTATTCGTTCGCTCGAAACTATTTCTTCAAGGTACTGGATTAAATGTATCGACGCTACGACACGCCCGGGCGAGATCATGTACGCAACCTCTGTTTCGAGCGGTTTCGAGAGGAATGTCAAAAATTCACTTAAGCAACGAGTTCTAGTTTCATTCGTATATCCATGGATCGTTTCGAGTGACGTGAATCTGAATGATTCGTCGTTGAAATGATTTTTCCACGGTTAACAATTTGACCGTCAGATCAAACCCCCTAACAGAGCTTCCATAGGATTAGAACTCTTCATTTAATCGTGTAAAATCTGTGTAAATAAACACACAGTTACAGTCTGCACTTTTTGAACCTCGTGGATCATAACCAAACTTATTTAACATTCTACTATAATTATTCATTTTTAGCATCAGATCATAAGATATGGTTACCTGTAATCCATATGACAGTCAAAGTGTTAAATCCTTCTCATTTGATTGATAAACTCATCGAAACCGACCGCCACACAATGGACGCGCGAACAAGGATGTCAAGACGGGTACCCACTACGATAGGTTAGACCGGGCTACCTCGTCGAAAGACAGTCTTCTCCGTCTGTCGTCAATTAGTTATACACCCGACGAACGATTTTCGCACAATAGGTCTTCTAAAAGCGCTCACTAAACGTTTTCGTAGGAATTGCATGTCCTTTCTCGCGTATCGTTCTCCTTAAACGCATATACACAGGTATCCGTCCTCACCATACTTTAACCCCCCCAACCCTTTGTTTCGTTAGCTCGTTTAATCCTCGGACGGCGATGACTATGTGGGTCTTGTTTTGCCCCAAAATTTCCAGAGGCTACACTTAACCTTCCAGCTCAAGGTGAATTACTTAAGCTGTCAATTCTTTGTTATTAGGTTTGACAAGAAGACTGACATGTCGTAAAAGAATTACAGTGGACTCTTGATATATTTGTAAATTGCTATACTGCCGCGCGTATCACTTACCCTGCACACGTGCTTTCACGAACACAAATTCGTTCTCCCACCACGTTGCGTACCCCGTCGCCACCAGCACGATCCAGCTCTTACGCATTCGCTGGAGCCGGGACTACGACAGCAGAACTCAGCATGGAGGGGGCTCTCGATATGTTGACGCTTCCGAGAATTTTACAATCCTACAATCCCGGCCGCGGCAATATATCAAGAGTCACTGGGGCTCTGGATGGACCCAGGAACATCTCCGCCAAATGTGGTGTCGACAGATATGTTTTTGCCTACCGAGGATTAGAACGCACGCTTGTTCCCTCTCTCTTTTCCCTCCCCCCTCTTTCGCCACCTACTCCCGAGCACCCATTCTCTAAGATTTTACATGTTTTGTTTTTATCACAGATGTTTTGTTCTCGATTCATCGTCGCCCGTTATACCCGAATACAGCCCACCCGGTATATATATCAAACAGGGACACGCGCTTTGTAAATAAACTTTTTCCCTGTTGTCCCCGCGCATTTCACGCACGTGCGCGTCGCTGTTTTTTTTCTTTCGCTTTCGTCCGCGAAGTTCTTTTCCTTTCGCTGATAATTCTCTCTTTTTCTCGCTCGCTCGCTCAAGCCGACGCGACATCGCGATCACAGCTCTTCTTTCCGTCCTCTGCCGTCGCTGGCAATAATATACACGGCTGTTCGTTCACAAACTAAGGCCTGCCTTAGTACAAAAATATACATTCGCTTCTTAAAAAATAGATCTTAGCATTCTGTACTGGCCAGCGTTCGTTTTGTTTTTTTTTTTTTCTATATTATACACAGTATTATTTTGATTCTTGGCAGGCTGGCTTAAAGGTTAGTTTATCGGTTGGCTACGAGAACCGCCGTCGTCGGAGCGCCGAGCTTTTTTTTTTTCTTCGTGTGAACGAGGGCGTGTGTGTTTATGTTCCGATCTCTAAGAAAACACTACTACCTGGTGCGCACCATCCCTTTCTTTGTGTGTTACCCTTTTTTTTTTCTTTAAGTTTTTCTTTAATAAACACGACGCGCATATTCATAAATTGGTGTTCGCGTGGCTCAATCGGGGGCGAATCGACGAGGGCCGCGAGCTAAGACGGAAAGCTGGAAAGAGACGGTAAAGAAAAGAAGAAAAGAAGACATCTTTTCTCAACACGTGGAGGGGAGGGGGCGACTATCGATCGATGTAAGCGCTACCCGCGTATTGATATGGTATACACGATCGATCGGTGAACCACCAACAATTATCGAATTCCACGATTTTTTTTCTTCTTTTCGCGAACAAGATGATGCTTTCCGTTTAGTCGGGATCGTCCTGTGCTTTATGAATATGAGGTCGGACGCGGCACCGTGCAGCCCGCTTAACTCCGATTTGTGTGTGTGTGTGTGTGTATATATATATACCTTTCTCGGGCAGGTTCAGTCTTATGCTTGGTTTGTCGTCGCGTTTTATATTCGATATATACGTGTAGGTAGTAGTGTTGGTTTGTGCCTCGTATATTAATCGGATAAGCGACCGGGCTGCACGGAATTGCCATATTCTTTCTACGACTTTTTTGTACAGAGGACTCGCAGAGATGGTACTACGTGTATCACCTGATTTACATTAAACGTTTTCTCTCTCTCTCTCTCTCTCTCTCTCTCTCTCTCTCTCTCTCTCTCTCTCGTTTTGCTCTGTTTCTATTACTCTCACTTGGATATTTTTTTCGTTATATATCCGAACGCAAATCATCTATCTCGGTTTTTTAATTCCCGTTCTCTCTCATACGATATCGTTTTCGCAACTTCATATAATGTTCTTTCACACTGTTCTCTCTTACTCGCGCTCTCTCTCTCTCTCTCTCTTTTTAAACTCACACGTCGGGCACCGCGCCCGCGAGTATACTGTTCATGCGGGACTTCGTTCGATAAAAAAAACAAACAAAAATAAACACGCACGAAGATAATAATAATAATAATAATAATAATAATAGCAATAATAATAATAATAAAAAAAGATTCTTAGTAAATAAAATCTGGCCCGTCCACGCAACGTCAATATATATGGTCAGCGAACAATTAACAACAACAACAACAACAACAACAACAACTGCGGTGTGTCTTGTTTCTCTTAGTGTTTGTTCACGAGATGTTCGTTAATAACAAGGAACAAATCGACGGTATATTTCGTTCACGACTCTCTTCCTGACCTCTAAAACAATTACGCGCGCACGGAATATACGAAATGAAAGGGCACACGGAGCATACCTTAACTCGTCAGTCACTTTTTCTTTTTTTTGGCGAGAAACCGTCTGGTGTTTCTATGCGAATCGCCGAAAAAAAAAAAAAAATGTTCATTAAGGTGTCTACGATTATCATCTTATGGTGGCTGTCGCGTGTTAGATTTCTTTCTCTCTCTCTCTCTCTCTCGCTCTCTATCTTCCTCTCTCTCCCTCTCTTTCTCTCGATAAATTTACTTTTACCGCGACTCAGGTACATATTAAGGCCCGTTTCATCTTGTATAACAGCATAAATCGTTTGTTTTTTTTTAAAGAAATAGTTATACTCGTATTTTGTGCCTAGCTCTCGATCGGAACCTCCTTATTACATCTGTTCTTTCGCGCCATTCGTTCCGAATTAAACGGTAATATATTACTTCGCTCTTCATCATCTTTTTATCTATTTCTCTCTCTCCATCTGCCTCTCTATTCAGCCTTTTGCATTATTAAATTCAGGCGCAATTCTGCGATTCCTGCGCATATGTCCAATATAGTTTTCCATTTCGTTTTTCTTTCCTCGCTTCACCCTCCATATAACGCATGAATGTATGTACAGAACCACATATAAAAGAAAACAAAAGAACAATAGTACACTTTGACTACAAGTACAATACACGACACGATGTAATATAATAATTATACAAGGGCTCGAAAAAAACAAAAAAAAAACAGGTAAATAACTTCTCAGAATAATAAACTGTATATACGGGTTGTGTGTTCTTGTTCTTGTTGTTTTGGTATTTTTTGTTGTTTTTTTTTCCTTTGTGTTTCGTGGATCATTGTATGAACGTTCGAAATCGTCATTATTTAATCGCACGACAGAAACAGATGCGCGACGGCATCCGGAATATTAACGTTTAAAGTTCGATATAGATAATACAGATATACATACATATACACAAATACACGATTAGCAGCTAATTCCTCTGATTTTTGTTTTCCCTTTAATAGACAACTATATTTGTGTTTCGTTATTCAGCGGTCGCTAAGAGCACGGCGAAGAGAGGGTACTTTATGGTTGTACAATTACTCAGACGCCATCGCACATGTTTATGGATCATTCCCCATTCGGATGCGTAGAGATTATGAGAATTCTGTATTATTGTGCAAACAGTTCTGCATTGTACCACCAAATCGACCGCACTCTTCTCGGCACACATTCATTTTTAATATTTTTGTACAAGAGCGTCCGATTGGTTTTGGTATTAAAAATAACCTCGGATCGCTGTGATCAACTTCTCTCATTGAGTGCACATCATTTCTCATTCACGTATGCGCGACATTGATATCAACCTCTTATCTCGGAAGTCTTCAACCCCATTTTTCCAGTTACTCATTCTCACACTGCATGCTCTTGGCGCTCGCTAGATCTATAGTTCCGATAGACTTGGAAAAATATCTGTTAACCATGTTTCTACTTACATACATGTGGAATTTCGTAACGCTTTCCCCCAGTGGAATAACACGGAAATCGGCCAGTTTCCGTTTCGCTTTTCATTTTAGTTTTGTTCTTCGTAACCCCTATGCTTCGTACATGATGATGATCGCCTCTCATTCTAGTGCGCATTGCCTTCGTTCTTTGATTTTTTTTCTTCGGATATTCACTTTCCCTGTGATATTAACAGGTATATACGTCACACAAAATATATATATATACTTCTCTTCTAGTATTCATTGGCGAGAGGAACGATCATTAACAAGTGTACTGTTCGCGACCACTTAGAGACCACCACTGTTGGCAGTAAACAATTAGCCATAGACTTCCTTACAAAAAGTTTCTTGCGAGAAAAAAAATCATCGTACGTCATTTGGATCTCCATTTTGATAAGCGGGGAGATCACCTCATTTAAAGGGATGTTACATACTTAATTTAGATATCCCCCTCTCACGGACTCAAGAAAGACATGGATAACTATGGCTTATTTCGTGTTCACAAGTGAACCGATCAAATCTTTGTAAAGCAGGAGAACTTGTGTGTGCGTTTCTTTTTACCCTCGCTGTTCACACACTTCGGAACTGTGTGATCCTTACCTGACAGCGTAGCCATTTAGTTATCAATTTTCTGTTACGACGAATCTATACGTGTTCGCTGTTTGATGTTTCATCCGTAGTTCCCATAAAAAAACAAATCTTATAGAAAAATAAAGGATATAACTTTGTAACTTTACTTCTGAGATTGTTGTCTCGCCCAGAAATAGTTGGTGATGTCGATAACTGGTACTGGGGAGTAATCTTTCCATGACTCACGTACAGAGTTACTTTTGGTCACGGAGGACCAACGGCATGATCACGTCTCTGCTGTCACCTTTAAATGGATCCTTAACAACTGGAGGTATATCAGCATCACTTAACGGTTCCCAGCGATGACACATTATCTCTTGTATTTCCTGTGTATAGAAAATTAAATGAAATATATACATATAAAGAGAATAATGAAATATCAGTATTAAAAAGGTGAAAGCTTACATGTGTGATACTTTCAGCCTTATGCCAGGACTCATTGTAGGATACTATGTCTCTTTGTGCGAACACTAACGACTTAAGGGAACATCCTCGTAGGCGTGCAATAGCTAACAAGTTTTCCTGATAATATTTGTGGCCAATGAATACAATCTCCACAAGATTGGTACACTTCCATGCGATAAACACTAAAGGGTCGGGGCTGCAGTAAAATAATAAATATGCTCGTTAATAAAAACAAATTGAAGATGGCAATATAATAAAGAAACTTGGATATACCTATCAGGCTCAGTTGGATCAAAGGTTGCCGGTATAATTCTACTGGGATGCATAGAATCTATCCATATCAAGGATTTCAAAGTAAAATTATACCACCTGGATAGCATAAACAATGCTCTGATGTTAACAGTTTCACAAAATAGTACTTTCAAGTGTGTAAGAGGCATAGAACGACGAAATATATCTGTATCCAACATTTCAATACCAACATAGGAGTGTATAAGACTCAATCGTAGTTCACACTTTGGACTGTAAGAAATTTTATATATAATTCTTGTGTATACTTCTAGATAATAATAATATATGATTTATGCTACTACTTACTTCTTCTGAACAAAAATTTGCCAAGCACCTTCACTTGTTCCCGGGTAATTGGCAACCCAAGCATGCACATGAATTACAAGCCTTTCCATGACTCCATTATCCAATGCTTTCAGCATAGTATCACTGACAAACTCATAATCTAGCGTCAAAATAGACAATCTGATGAACGAGTTAAAGAAAAGTTCAGAATCGAACCCATGTTCCCAAAAGCTATAATCCGGATTGGATATTGATCTAACAGATGCCAAACTCAATGTTGTCAAATGCTTGGCATGATTCATACGAAGTGGTTCTAGAATCACACTGGCGCTTGCTCTCAATTCTTCTATGCAGCCAAAACTCAAAGCTTCCAAATGATTAGCTGTTTCAATGATTTTTGTAATAGGTTTTATCAATGGTGTAACATATCCATTAATGTACTTATCATATTCATGCTCAAAAGGGCTACTTGATGATTCCAGAAACAATTTACGAAGCTGTCTGTTACAACTCAATTTCTTCAAGATGGCTAATATTTCGTCGGCAGAATGATTTGGTGTATCGCAACGAATTGTAGCTTCATGCACACTAAGTCCAAAGCTTTCTGCCAAGAATCTGTAATTTTAAAAAGGGACAAAGATAGATTTTTCACGAGTCATCACATTGCGGATGTACAGCTGGGCCAAGCACAGTTGACAGATCTATTGTGTATGCCCGAAACAGAAGGTAATAGAATAAGGTGCCCACCAATTACTTTCTCTATTTACACACTACTGACACAACAGAAACTTTAAGATCATTAATACTCATTGCCCAATAGGTTGGCTACAACCAAATAAGCTCACTCTATATAATATCATGTCAAACAAGAAAAGTTTGGGTAGCCATTAGCCAAGTTTCCCTCAGACTGTCCTTACTTTTCCATCTGGTCCCACTGACGCCTCTCTCAATCATCAGTTGTGCTTGGTCAGACAATAACAATCTTACATACCGAGCCCATGCAATACTGTCTTCGTGTCCATGGAGAAATGTGATCTTTTTCCAAAAACTAGGATGGAACAGAGCATACCTCCAATTTTTACAAACCTGCGGAAATTACGTTCGAACGAATTATTTTTAACACGTTAACCCTGCCCGCGTTGAATGTCGCAGTAAACATGACAATGATTAAAATAGATACCCGTGAGGTAAACAAAGAACAAATACGCTGTACCACTAGCAAGGGAATAACAAACACGGTAAATAGTTCGAGTGTAAAATAAACGGAATATTGAGAATAAGCGAACGAGTCTGGACATGGGCAGTTTGATTACCCACTGTGTCGCGACAGAGTTGGAACGGCCTTGGCGGAAACAAGAAAAAAAAATGTAAGAATACCTGAGAAGCTTTCAACCGGCTATTCTGTGACAGATACGAGAATATTTCCTGCAAGATAACGCTGGGCAGGTTGTTCCAACACGGACTGTTGCCCTCTTGCGCCATTTCTGTCGTACGATTTGCAGTTTTGTAAGACGAACAGCTGTTTGCCTTCGTCGAAGACAGCTGCCCCTCGCACTTTCTTGACGTCGCCTTCTCTGTCGTGTCACTCTCCGACGAATTCTTTAATTCCTCCAAATAAACAACACCTCCATTTATAACGCGTATCATGTTTTTATCAATGTTCCGTGACCTATATCCTGAACTTTCCCTGTGAATCCTTTTAAGCCACGGCCACCCGTTTTTCTCGAGGTGAGCCTCCTCCGCAAATCAAAATAAGAGTCCGATGTATATTGCGCTCAACTCGTAACGTCCAACCACTCCAACTGCCGTTCGCGTACGCTTATACGCATGGTGGCGCGTCAAATTCTTCTCTCCTATTGGTTAAATGCCTACGCACGTCAAATTTCTCTGTGTATATATACATGCTCACAGTTTTCACAGAATATACACGGTGTCCCACGGAACTAGGCCAGGCTAACATAGTTTTTAGCTTGCGATTGTTCGGTTATCATAAACAAATTATACGATACCATTTGCTAATACGAAATTGATTTTATAATCACTGAAGTAATTTCATCCACGAAACCGATTCTTCAACTATATGAGTTAAAATCATTTCATATGTTTCCTTATAACAATTTTTTTGTCCTCTATAAAGTTACATTTTATAACTTATAACTCGATCCAATTGCGTTGGACACCCAGTATACACAAATCTGCGCCATAGTGAGAATGCGTGTTGGTACGTTCAACGGCGCATAAAGCAGTAACTACGAACGTGCATTTCTATCCAAACGAGTCGTTATTAATCAATAACAAAAAATAATACCATGACAACACATAGGTACACATTGGTAAAATTAATAGATTTAATTCTTTTATTATGATCTTTTTTACAACATAGTAATGTCACTTGTAGACGATACTAGTAAATTCAGAATCTACAGTTAATTATACCACAAGTTACGAAGAAAGTATTATAAAACAATCCTGATAATAAATATATCGTGTAATTATATTGTATATTTCTCTAATAAATATAAATCGTATTTATATACATAGAACATATACGAGTAAATTTTAAATTAGCGAGTAATTAATCTTACTATATTTAAAGAAAGAAAGTATTAGAAACTGAAGTTTTAAATATAAAAATACATAGAAAAGTTTATTGTCTGTCGTGCATAGATAAAAGATTTTTAGCAACGACTATTTGAGTACGCAGAATTCCCTACATTTTTGAAAAATTTTGATGCTTTCATTCGCTACAATCCCAAACGCTGAAAATATAGAGTCGAATCTTTCAAGTGGAGCACGAAATAAATTTAAACGCATATATACATACATATGTATATATAAATGCACATTGTTGATGTGCCGAGATCTATATTTAACCATCTACGCGTAAATCGTTTTGACTGTATGTATGTTCAGTGCTCGCGAGCATACCGCAAAACAGCTGTGAAGTCAAAACGGGTTAAAAAGCGTATTAGTGGGTATAAGCCGGGTCAACATGGAGCCTGCGATAAAACGTCAGTGTGTAGTGATGCGGTGTTTTCCTTCTTAGAAATTTTGATTTTACAAATGTCACAGTACAATGACGCGCTCGAAGATCCATATGATTAAATTTTTTCTATTTCTATTGATCTTCTTGCTGGCTCAGAGCGCAGAATGCGATGGAAATTTTAGGATAAACAGGGACGTACCTGAATCAACGTCAATAGGGAAAAGTGTTAATGATACCGGTAAGAATGTTAATACGCACACTCCGTCAAACGGACAAAAAAAAGTGCAACCAAATGTAGTATTACCTGTTGGCACAACGACGATTCCAGAGAATACTAAAACATTGAGTGGTATAACCTCAAAGTCATCGACAGACATCAAAACTGTTAATGCTACAAAACCACGAAAGGAGGTTAGTATTTGAACTTGATCCTGTTTAATTTTACAGGGAGATATCTTGATCTTGTTATAATTCTGGTCGAGTGTTTCGATACTCTTATTAGAATATGCTTTATTTAATTCTGTTTAAAAGTACAAAAAAATCGGGCTATTTGTTGGATTTAATGGAGAGTTTTTGCATTTTTCTTCTTATTCGATATAATGACATAATGATACGTAGTGCATCACTAAAATTATAATCCTTTAATAAATATTTGAAATCATCAAGCCTTCTCCATGTACTTCATGAAAGCTTCTTTATTAAGAATTTATAAGAAGCCAGGTGGACACCTCAAAATATGAGATTATAAAAAACAAAAGAAAACACTCTATGAAGAATACAAACACTTTCTGTTTAATCCAAAATACAATTGCTGTAATAACTGTTAATAATGCAATTTTTCAACAGCATGAGGAAGTAAGACATGTCACTACTTTAAATACTGGAACTCTAAAGCGTGGGCTTTATGTGTTTGTTGGGCTAAGTGTTATTGTCATGGTCTATATCATGTTCCGTAGTCTTAGGTAAATAATATGTGTTAAAGTTTGACATTTCTTTTATTTTACTAATTCTTTACTACTTTATTAATACTACATTGATAAACAAAAAAAAATGCAATAGCTCTTAGAAAGTTTTTTGAGTAAAGAACATTATAATTACAATAACACTAGATGTTCTTTATGTACGGGATAAGCAGTTTAGATTCTACATTAGTAAGATTGTGTTTTTTGTATTAGTCTGTGTATTAAAATTCTTATTATACATATAAAATGACATTTACTTATGAGTTTAAAATAGCAAACAATTTTAAAGCAACATTGAAAAATAAATTATTCAATAGGTTAAGCAAAACACGTGCCCAAATGGTCAGAAAGTATGGCATTCTTGCAAACAGACAAGATGTTGAAATGCGACCACTACCACTCGATGAGGAGGATGATGAGGATACCACAGTTTTTGATGCCAGTAATGTTCTCTCAAATAACGCTCAGCATCAGAATTTATAAGAATATTCAACATACAGTATATTGATTATATTACAAATATAAATTCTTTCTCAAACGAGAAATTGTCTGGTGAATGTGATGTAATTCAGAAGCTGAAGCTTTGTGTCACAGAGACTTGGCACATACAGAAATTTTTTAAATATTTTTCATATAAAATTACTTGCTCGCATATGACAAATTTCAACATCAAGTATGCATTGAACAATGCACTTATCTTTACGAATTATGCTTTCCAGCAATAAATGTACTTGTCAAACAAAAACGAGATGTTCTTACGAAACTTCTCGAATTCCTTAATATAAGTAAGTGATAAAAGATAACTGAAACAGCCGTTGTTTATGAATGAATAAATGACGAGGTTCTATATCTACTCTCATACAAATTATATTTTACTTAAACTATGTTGTTATAATTGAAATTATACAAATACAGATTGTCTCTATTTTATTTAATGCTACACATTTAATAAACATTATGTATAAAATTCAGTTGTCTTTCTTTTAGAGTAGTTAAAATTACTTAAATATATTATGAGAATATTTGTTACATATTTATATTATATAACAGAATTATGGATTAATACTTAAACTTTTAGGTTCATAAAAATCCATTTTCAACTGCGTGAGCAATTACATTGGCTAGTCTAAGTCTCCCATTTTGTGTTTTAATATTTGATACTGTCCATACATCATCAACATCAACTGCCTGGTCATTTTTTATAATAGCATCTAAATCAAATGACTCAGATTCGTCTAACAGACTGAATGGAATCATTTCCAGTGCCAACACTACACCGAATATAAACTGTTCTTTTACCTGCAAGCATTTCATTTATATTGTTCTACTTGTCCTCTTAAAAATATTACATTTAATGTGACAAAAAATATAACTATGCTTTACCTCTTTCATAAATGTACTCCATGGATACAGATTTTCGGGATTCGATCCGAGCAAACTAATGGTTTTCGAAAGTTCATCATAATAAAGTTTTAACAATTTATCAAAATGTTCATCCCAAAGGCTTTTTTCTGTGCAACCATAAATACACATTGATATATCTAAGACTGGACTGGAACATCTTGCTAATTGGAAATCAAGCATTAAAGCTTCAGTTCCATCTGTATCTTTAGTCAAAAAGTTTGGAACCCAGGAATCACCTTGAGTTATAATGGATGTTGGATGATATTTACGATTACAAAATTCAGAAACTTTTTGATACAGAACCCCAAATTCATAAGAATTAAATCGTTTTTCTGCCTTACTCCCAGGGTATTCCATAGCTAATGCATTTTTAGCGATATTTATTACTCTTTGCTATAAAACAAATGAATAAATATCATTTCATGAATTAAATCATATTTACAATCATTAATTTTCCAAATTTTATAATAGACGAATAATGTATGTCTTACATGAAATCTTTTGTACCAATTCCAGTGATCATCACTTAAATATGTTTCATTCACGTTTTCCGAAATTTCTTTAAAGTCTTCAGTTTTCTGGTCCTTGTAAGCAAAAGAAATTGCATGAAATCTTGCTACAGTTCTTAAAATCATTGCACATTGGTTTGCATTTATACAATTCTGTCTACATATTGGTCTATATCCTAAAGGAGTAACATCTTCCAGTGCTATATAATCATTTATGCCATCCATAACAGAAGCTAAGTGATGTGGTATACATAATACTTCAGTATGTCCTTTACTTTCTAAAAATTCTTGAAATTTTGGAACCACCTTAAAAGTACATGGATTAAATTAGACAAAATATCATATATTTTTCAGAATTAAATAATAAAATAATTACTTTTGTATAAAAAAGAATCTCATTTCGGAAGAATTCGACACTTCTGTATGTGTTTCTCCTACCTATATTGTTTGGTAGAGATTTGACCACCAAACTAACTTGTACTTCTTTACCATCAACATTGCCAACAATCTTAATTTTATTAACAGTTGACAAATAATTGTCACCTTTGGCACTTGCTTCATTAAAATACCAATTTAAAACATTTGCCTTCTGTCCTTTATGCACATCAAGCAATATTTCTTGTAATTTGTTTTCAGTGAAATGTTCACTTACGTCCTTTAATTTTCCATAATCTTTAGTCATGATTATAGATATAACTGAAGAGATTAGATATAACTAAAAAAATTAATTTAAACAGTATATTGTATAAAGTTGAATACTTCTTTACCACACGCTTTAAAGTAACTAACTTATTCCTTAATTTTAAGACTATTTGAGTTCTTATCATATATTAAATCATCTTATCTTCAATGAAAATGATAAGGAATCTTTTCAAATATACTTATCTTAAGTTGTATCAAGGGAACATTTATATTCATTTATTGTTTATTTACTTTATACTTCACTTGAAATGTGCTTCAATAAATTAATTAAACCTATTTAAATTATTATCTTCTTAAAAATATTATTTTTAGATTTTTACTTACAACAATGATGTAATTATAAAATAGGAAAAACGTATTATAAGACGTTATTTCGAAATATTCTCAAAATGAACACACCTACATCTACGAATATACACTGATTTAGGCAATGGTAAATGCCACGTTAGCATTAAATAATACATAATAACATCTTATATACACAAGAAATATATTTTGCTTAAAATTTTCAATATATTTAATAATTTATATAGATCGGTGATACAGGTAATATAAATTTTATAAATTAAGTGGAATGACATAACTAAATCAGAAATTACGAAATATTCTTTTACAATAGAAACTATTGTTAAGATTAACAATATTAAAAATTTTATTATTCATTTATCATCATAGATATATTTATTTAAGTCAAGGAAAACCTATGAAAAGTGTTTATCAGCGTTGATAAAGTAAACTAAAATGTTGTATCAAGAATTACCACTACACTGTCACTGTCAAAGAAACACGTTGTCCATCCCACTGATCCCATTCCTCTTCAAGTATGTGCTACGAAAAGCAACATTCCTATCTATGACAAAATGTTCTGTGGTGTGGACCACAAAACGGAAAAACGAAAAATTACTTTATTGTGGTACAAAAATAAAAGTTGAATACGGAGATTAAATCAGATTTATGATACGTCAACAAAATTTTTATATATTGGGTTTTTGAAATTCGGAAGGTTTTTATTACTGGTGAAACATTACACGTGCATCTGACACTGCGATACTCACCATAGATTATTACAGTATAGGTAAGGATGCTGTGTTTCGTAATATCTCCTGTGTATATGCTAGGGAAAAAGCTGATAAAGCAGAACAAATATATCCGATGAAATCATTTGTTTGTAGCTACATATACAAAATATTATGGGAAATGTAAGTATTCTCATTAATTGAATAAATCCACGTAATATGCAATCCATTTGTGCCATTCAAATGTGACCGTCATCGTATTATGTATGACCTGCTTTATGGTTGGTAAGACCGACTTTCGATATAGCGCGATCTTGTTAAAAATCGCTAAGTTTATGGAATCCGTTTTGTGAATCTCCCTATGAAAAAAACATATTTTAGCGCATTATTCAGACAACATATAGCGACACAGTATGTAGTACGCACTGCCTGAAATTTGTATTCCTTTAGCAAAAAGATCCTGAATGGTATTATCAAAAGAACAAGCACACTTTACAATAAATATAAATTACACAAATTTTCTGACGGTGTATAAAATAGTTACACAACAGTTACATGTGACACGTATTCTGCCAGATTTATCCGTTTCCCGCAGAAATAATTAACTGAGGAATTTTCCGAGGTCTTAGTTTATTGCGTCACCCTTACAGCAACTTCAATAGGGTATTAGCCGCTTTGTCAATACGCGATTCCATGCACCTATGACGTGATATATTATAACTAACAGCATCCTTAAATAATATTATTGTAATGCAATTCAAAGGGGTGCCGGCAGATGAAATGATGCTGAAAAATTACAGACCACTTAACGTCGATTTTGCATTCCGTATCCGTGATAAAAACCCTACTTAAAAATCGCTGTTCAGCTAGACACTGTTTGGAAGGGAGTTGTACCGCGCATGCGTCCGAGAAGCTCACGGGGACGGACGTAGAGGACGTACGCGAGCAGTGCGTCGGGGAGCGAAAAGGAGGGAACGAGTGGCGAGAAAGTAAGAGCGATACCCGCGCAGAAAATTAAGCAGAAGACAGTGGCAGCCATTTTTCCTGACATTGCCGTTCCTGCGGCTCGCGGTGCTAATTGTCGTTGATTCTCTTACGGCCGCTTTCGAGCCGATCGGAGCAGCGACGTGAACGGGTGTCCATAGACGGGATCGCGGTGTTATTTTGTGCACACCGAGAGATAAAAGGTGGCGCGAGATAACGATAAGAGAATTTTAGACGTCAATGGTACGGCGTGGCTCTGAGTGACGAGTGCGTGTGTAAACGATCGCCGAGAGTAGTGGGGCTCGAGATCTTAGTTGGCCGAGTGGACAGCCGTAAAGGAGGAGCTGCTGCCGACAACGGGAAGGGTGTTACAGGAGGCGACAGCGACGGCAACGGTGACGACAACGACGATCACGAGGACAACGACGACGGCGACGATACGACGGAAACGGCAACGATCGCGGATACGGAGTTACGGCAGCCCAGCCTAGGCGCCCTTATTTCGTGGGTTTCGTCCCTAGAAACCCTCCTCGAAACGGGGAATCGTTAGTATTGCACAGTGCACACAGTCACGCGCCACCGCGTACATCAGCGCCACGAGATGGAGAGGCGAGCTGCTTTTGTGCTGCTGGGGATGCTATATTTAGCGGGCACCCTCGTCACGGTCCAGGCAGGTGAGACTTATCCTCTCTTTCGGATTGCCCACCATTCAACCCGTTCATTTATTTCGTATCCCATTCTCGCGACCCTTCCCCGGATCGTTCTTTTTCGCCGTTTTCCATGGATTAGTCGCCGACGTCGAGCCCCTGCACGACGATCATCCTTCGTGTCTATCTTCCTTACGCGAAACCGTAATTCTTTCAGTTGGTTCCGAAGAAATTCCACGCGCTCCTTTCGGGTCAGATAAAGAATCGTTTCTCGTGAAATATGTAAATCTCAAGGTTACCAGTCTCCGCAACGGGAAAACAAATACTCAATGTTACTTAATTTCTGGGATGAGGGGGGATACCAGATTCGATAGTGTGCTTTTGTTCATTTCTACTGATACTTTTTCAAATATACTTTGCTGTGTTCGACAACCATATTCGAAATTCAATACGAATTTATTACTTTCGTGCTTTTGACTGATTTTCTGATACTGTGACGTAGTTGTCACATGGTAGCCCGTACGCATCTTTGTTCGTATGCATACTATAATTGTGAGCGATATAATTTTCTCAGATTTACTACAGTTATACGAGTTCGATGCACGAAATGTTCTCGAGCGCCTTTTCGGATCCAGTGATTGTCGGTTTCACAATACGGGGGGATTTTTGGTAAATATTTCCCATAAAAGCGGTCGACGTGTCTTGACAGATTTTGAAATTCTATTTTCAGTTTTGATTATACCGCACCGCGTTCGAACGTGCTAGTGGCCTCGCGCGACGTTAAATGCACGGCACCTATTAAACCGTTCTTAACACCATTTTCTCACGAATTACTCGACGGACGGGTTACCTTCGTGAAGTGGTTATTACGGAAACGTAGATCTGGAATAACGATATTCCAACCCCGATTCGATTATCGTTACACGGGTATATAGTTAACGGCGTTCGATCCGACGCGATACGTGCAGGCACTTATGGTATCACGTGTGCCCCAGCCAATCGTCTTATTTGCACGTTCCTGAACACCTCTGGAATCGTCGTACATATATATCAGCGTCCTACAATGCGTTCCAATATATCGAAAATGCAAGCTACGGGTCCCGCAGAAATTATTTCCCAACTGTTCGAAACCTACAGCCAAAGGCACATATTCTCTTTACGCGTACATATTTAACACTAGACTACCAAGCAAGTCAAAATTACTTGCCAATACACTCTTACAACGATGATTAAAATGTTATAACAATACATTTTCTCGGATCTTTTGTAATTTCTATTACGATACGACATTAAAGAAATTAGTTAATTTATAGATTTGTAGATTTTCAAAAGTTTGCCATATTTATCGATCGATCGAAAAAGATATGCGTTTATCGTTGGTAGTTCTAGTGTTAATATTATATTTGTGTGTTCTGTTACCGATATACATGTGTGCACGTATATATACGTTCAAGTAATCTTTACGTTGTTTATTATGCCATTAAAACGTCCGTGAACACAGATGCGACACGCGTGTGGGATGCCTCCTTTCTTGATCCGACAGCGTGTCTAGTCGAATTTTGACCCTGCGGCTCATTCGAGTTGTGCACCCCTGGTTTATAGTGCCGCGAGACACCGGGATTCGCTCGCATTCGATGCTGCAGCTACATTCCGAGAGACGTACGCGAAGTACCCACGCCAAGCAACTTTTGTTGCGTAACAATTGACCCTATTTTCCGTCCACCTAGAAAACTTTACGGACTTTTAGCGATCGCCACGCGGAAGTTTGATGCCAATCTGTTTAATTACGCGATGCGTGGAAATTTTTTTTCTGGTACTGAGAACGTCCATCGAGTGTTAACTTTCAGACCTTGCGTGAAGACGTTGACAAGAGTTATTTGTTATGTTTATATGTGTACGCTATCATTCAGTAATGGTTAAGACATCTGTCGAACGTGAAGCAAACGTGAAACAACATTACGGGATTACTGAAACTCTTGAATAAATATTATCGAAGGAACTATTAAAGCTCAATACACAGTCTGCTAGTATAAACTACAGTGTGAAGCACGGTTTATAAAAAATCACAGATTTTTTTTCGGACACAGCATGTATCGTAATACTTGTTTAACGGGAGTACTAAAACCAGGATGAAAAGTTGGGGGAATCTATTTTCTTGCTTGAATGTTAACAGAAACATTAAAAGGTTATGAGACGCGCGTTCGAAGAGGCCATCTTTTAAATTTCGTCCACTGAACCGTAGGTGCGTGCATCAAGTAGCGAGAATGTGTCGTGTGAAAAGATTTCAACCGTTCGTCAGGATACTTATATTTAGACCAGAGTCTACGAATATCATTTCCATTTTATGGACCGGAGGGGGTCTTGTGACAAGGGCCGCGGTAAAGGGATCGTTTAAGAGTTTCGAAATGCAAGTTTAAAAATGCATTGCCTAGATTCTATTCGCGATTCTTTTTTTTTTTCTTGTATCGATGTCGTGCCTAACACGCGTGTCTTCGTCGTTTATATTCTTAGCCACGCGTGTCTTGTTTATTGAAATGTAAACTTAACCTCCATTCTCTAACACTGTGAATGTTTTCATCCGCCTCTGTTTTGCCGTCGCTCGCAAACCAGACGAGAAGAATGCTTACGTTTAACCCTGGGAGCGCGCATCTATTTTTGACCCTTCAGCATCTACCATAGAATAATGCGACGATAGTAACGCCATACAAACGGTGCAAAAGGTATAGTGTCCATGTGGTCTTGTTTATTTATATCTCTTGTCATTCATATTTACTATGAACTGTTTCAAGCATTCCGCAATTAATCGAACTACACATAGTACACACATGATTTAATTATTTATCGACTTACGAGAACTCGAAGCCTACCCGTTCTTACAGAATAAAGGTGTATTTTTAAAATCGGGATATGGGTACAAAAATATACCGGCTGGGGTCAGTCTATGTTCCGCGTAGTCGAAGGACTGACTCTTCGGCCGCAAGCGAATTTCGCGTGGACAGGTGGAATCTTTGTCCCAGATAGGAGTATTATTTACGACGGTTCATGCGTCTTTAACGCCGTAAATACCGCGAACGATCCCTTTTGTCTTTGTTTTATCGAATGCATGTGCCGTGAATTGAACTTGAAACGATTCCTTTAGACTTAGACGTTGTAAAGAATACGACGAACGTTGTGTGAACTTGTTGACATTTGTTTTTGGTTTTGTAAGTTTTATTCGTGTTGAAATACAGACGGGAGACGATTGTAGTAGCCACATTGATTAATATTTAATTATACGATTCAAGAATGATTTCGATTAAAAAATGTTGGCTTCTCAAGGATAGGGCGTAAAAGCTTCGGTTCTGTTTCAGAGGGGGGAGAGGAGGATAGCGTAAATATCTGTGGCGTCTCCGTGTATTGTTTGAGATAGTGAGCACACGACTGCGCCGATCGATTCCGAATACGTTTTTCGCCAAGTCCGCCTATTCTATCCTCCCTGTGCAAGGCTCGAAGCACGAATGGTTTCGTGTGCTTCGATCGGTTCGCTGCTAGCTTTCTTATAAGTTATCCTGCTGATATACAAACGCGCGACGTTAGTGACCCTCTCGTGGTACTAACTAGGCCAACGTGTTTTTGGGTTTACACATTCTCGATTCGCGATCGGCTACGGAGAATTACTTTATGCATCACCGAAATAAATTCATTAGAGTATCTTTAGTTGATTACGTAACCGCCCCGTACGCCGACCGAACCGGCTGAAACTTTTGTCCGTCTTTCTGTATTCTAGGTCTCGGTTAGGTCTAGGTTAAAACTGGTTTTGAACAGAATTACTACCCAGTATGCAGATAATCGAGCACTTCAATCGGGCGGAAATCGGTGATTTGATCGAGCTATTCTACGTGAACTCGTCCATATATGTTATAAAATTAATTTTCTGTTTGCAGCGATCGAACAATAATTATCTTGTGAGTAAAATAATTTGACCAAGTGAGGTTAAGTTTCACGTGTTTATCTGTTCAGTGGTAAAGCTTTTGTTATTTTTTCGCGACATTTTTCTGCAAACCGAAAACACGATAACGTCCTGCTGCGTGAAACGCATTGTTCGTTCGAGAAACGATACTGACGAAATCGAAGAAAAATTCAGGCGGTATCGCAACGGGTTGTTGGGGATGCACTCTTACTTCGCGATAATACGGCAGCGGAGAGTGTTGTCATGGTGAATCATGGCCTGTGGCTGATGATCGACCTTTGTTACTGTCCCTGGCAAATACCGCCGTGACGTGTCCGACTTGTATGCACAGTATTGTGCTATACACGACACGACACATCTGTAATTTTACCGATTCGTCATCGAAACGCTGGGTCATACCTGGGGACGCTCGTGTACTGCAGTTTCTATTTACCATTCGTCGAGAACCAAAGACGCTTTGGCTGGGCCGGTTCAAAGCTCGGGTAATTGTTCGCGAGTCGCAGATTTTTCCAACGTTATCTCACATTATCTTGAAGATAAAATTAATCGTTTCATAGACAACCACATATTACAAAGCTACTGATCATTATTGACTGTAACACTTTTGAGCAGCTATACAGGGTGTTTCAAAACGAGTAAAAATCTGTAAGAAAATTGTCAAATTTGAATTTGAATGACCGTACACTTTTGAATTTGACTGATCGACATATCTGTTACTTATATGGTATTCCTACTTGTAACCAGCATTGATAATGGTATTATTTGCTTTTCACTTAGAAACACCCCGTAACTAAAATTCGGATATAAGTGTCGTTGTCTTCTCTGTACGTAGTTTTGGATCATCACAAAAGTGGAAGGAGTCGTTGCATTCACCGAATGCTACCTGGTAGTGATTCTTCTCCACTTTCTGTGATGTATTGAGTCATACAGGTTCGTAATGCATTCTGACTTTGTGTGTTATTTATGTAACAATGTCACACCGGTATCTCCTCACAGATTAGATTGTCCGTGGTTATACAGGGTGGAGAGATATTCGTGATACGAACGAGCAGATTTTAATAGAATGAAAAATATAGAA